TGAGGGCTCGGGGTGAGCATTAACATTATGAGACCTCTTTTGCCAGTAACAAGATATAGTAATAGGTTTTTACCCTTTTAACTGGCACAAAAACTGACACCTTTATTCAAGGCATCATGTTTGCAATAACCACAGCACAAGCAGTCAAAATGCAAACAAAAAAGACAACTCTGATAATAATATTGGCACTGTCCTTGAATTTGATTGGTCCACACCAGAGACAGCTTTTCTTAGAGCCCTTAAGTCTCTCCACTGGTGTTGGACCAGAAGATGCCAAAAGGCGTACAACTCAAAAACAGCGAACTATCAGAGTATTGAGGGCTCGGGGTGAGCATTCACATTATGAGACCTCCTTTGCCAGAAACAAGATATAGTAATAGGTTTTTACCCTTTTAACTGGCATAAAAACTGACACCTTTATTCAAGGCATCATGTTTGCAATGACCACAGCACAAGCAGTCAAAATGCAAACAAAAAAGACAACTCTGATAATAATAATATTGGCACTGTCCTTGAATTTGATTGGTCCACACCCGAGACGGCTTTTCTTTAGAGCCCTTAAGTCTCTCCACTGGTGTTGGACCAGAAGACGCCAAAAGGCGTACAACTCAAAAACAGCGCACTATCAGAATATTGAGGGCTCGGGGTGAGCATTTACATTATGAGACCTCCTTTGCCAGTAACAAGATATAGGAATAGGTTTTTACCCTTTTAACTGGCACAAAAACTGACACCTTTATTCAAGGCATCATGTTTGCAATGACCACAACACAAGCAGTCAAAATGCAAACAAAAAAGAGACAACTCTGATAATAATAATATTGGCACTGTCCTTGAATTTGATTGGTCCACACCCGAGACGGCTTTTCTTAGAGCCCTTTAGTCTCTCCACTGGTGTTGGACCAGGAGACGCCAAAAGGCGTCACACAACTCAAAAACAGCGCCACCATCAGAGTAAAATAGTAACTGTGACGTTTCGCTGGTAAATACATCAACCAGCATTATCGGGCAATTCGCCAGAATGGTAAAGCCCTCTCCACTTGCTCCCGGTTTTTATATATAGAGCAGCAGCAGGGTGACGTCATCACTTAACTCATATCAGGTGCAGTGATTGGAGGGGGGGTATTGTAATTATATAATCGATTAGTAATCAGTCATTGGTTATGATTAGTAATGTTGCCTCCGAAACGTCGTGTTTTAATTGTTTATTTTATTTGTATTTTAAAAAAAATTTACACCCACGTGACTCTATAGAGATTTCTGAGCAGGGCGAGCGAGCGACTGTGATTGGCCGATCTCCGCGCATGCGCACTGACGACAGTTCGCCCCCCCCCCCTTGCACTCCCCCCGCGGCGTCGCCGTTGCCGTGGCGACCCCGCGCATGCGCAGTGCGCGCCCAACCGCCGCCACTGTACGCGAGGCAGCTGCAGGTACAGTGTTGCCCAGAACGCTTCGTTCATTCACTCGGCGCGCGTGATTCATTCACTAGGCGTGTGTGATTCATTCACTAAGCGTGTGTGATTCATTCGCTCGGCCTGTGTGTGATTCATTCACTCGGCTTGTGTGATTCATTCACTCGGCTTGTGTGATTCATTCACTCAGCCTGTGTGTGATTCATTCACTAAGCGTGTGTGATTCATTCACTCGGCTTGTGTGATTCATTCGCTCGGCCTGTGTGTGATTCATTCGCTCGGCCTGTGTGTGATTCATTCACTAAGCGTGTGTGATTCATTCGCTCGGCCTGTGTGTGATTCATTCACTCAGCCTGTGTGTGATTCATTCACTAAGCGTGTGTGATTCATTCACTCACCCTGTGTATGATTCATTCACTCAGCCTGTGTATGATTCATTCACTCAACCTGTGCGTGATTCATTCACTCAGCCTGTGTATGATTCATTCACTCAACCTGTGCGTGATTCATTCACTCAGCCTGTGTGTGATTCATTCACTCAACCTGTGCGTGATTCATTCACTCAGCCTGTGTGTGATTCATTCACTCAGCCTGTGTGATTCACTCAGCCTGTATGATTCATTCACTAAGCGTGTGTGTGATTCATTCACTCAGCCTGTGTGTGATTCATTCACTCAACCTGTGCGTGATTCATTCACTCAGCCTGTGTGTGATTCATTCACTCAGCCTGTGTGATTCACTCAGCCTGTATGATTCATTCACTAAGCGTGTGTGTGATTCATTCACTCAGCCTGTGTGATTCACTCAGCCTGTATGATTCATTCACTCAGCCTGTGTGATTCATTCACTCAGCGTGTGTGATTCATTCACTCAGCCTGTGTATGATTAATTCACTCAGCCTGTATGATTCATTCACTCAGCCTGTGTGATTCATTCAGTCAGCCTGTGTTGTGTCATTCATTCACTCAGCGCGTGATTCAGTCACTCAGCGCGTGTGATTCATTCACTCAGCGCGTGTGATTCATTCACTCAGCGCGTGTGATTCATTCACTCAGCCTGTGCGATTAATTCGCTCTATGCTTCAATCACTCTTTCCACCAGTTCACCCGCTCACCCACTCACCCGCTCACCCACTCGCTCACCCACTCACTCACCCACTCATCCACTCACCCACTCATCCACTCACCCACTCACCCCCTCACTTAACCACTCACTCACCCACTTACTCACCCACTCACTCACTTACTCACCCGCTCACCCACTCACTCACCCACTCACTCACCCACTCATCCACTCACTCACCCACTCACCCACTCACTCACTCACCCACTCACCCACACTTGTGTGTGTGTACACTGTGTGTGTGTGTGTACACTGTGTGTGTGTGTACACTGTGTGTGTGTGTACACTGTGTGTGTGTGTACACTGTGTGTGTGTACACCTGTGTGTGTGTACACCTGTGTGTGTGTACCTGTGTATGTGTGTGTGTGTGTACCTCTGTGTGTGTGTGGGGAAAAAACGGTGATCCAATCTCCGACCCCCAGGAACAGGTTTGCAGATTTGCTGAGCATTTCTGTGAGGTCCTGGGGGAGGAAAAATCCCTCAGCCAGGAAAACATCGTGGCACAAAGTGGGGATGACCCTGCTGAGGCTGCGGTGCCTCAAATATTGGAAGAAGTCACCCCCTGTGAGTGGCTGGCTGAGGTGCCATCTGTTGAGGAAGTACTGAAGGCGATCCGGAGTCTGAGACCAGGAAAGGCACCGGGCAGAGATGATCTCCCAAGCGAAATGCTGAGGGAGGGTGGCGTTTGTGCACAGACTGCCTTATATGACATCATAACAACAGTCTGGACCACTGGACGGGTTCTGCAGGATTGGAAGGATGCCCTGGTGGTCCCCCTCTTTAAGGAGGGGGACCGCACATACTGTAACAACTACAGGGGCATCTCACTCCTCAGTGTGCCGGGAAAGGTCCTGGCAAGGATTATTCAACATCGCCTTGCCAGGCACTCTGAGGAGAGGCTTGCGGAGCCCCAATGCGGTTTCAGGAAAGGGCGGTCCTGCACAGATGCCATATTTTCTGTCCGTCTGCTACAGCAGAGGTGTAGGGAATTCCAACAAGACCTACATCTCTGCTTTATTGACCTGGTCAAGGCCTATGATACCATCAGTAGGCCTGGGCTCTGGGTTATTCTTCGTGCTTTTGGAGTGCCTGATCCTCTGCTCACGATCATTAAGGACCTTCATGATGGTGAGCGGGCCTGGGTAAAACTACATGGCCAAGAGTCAGAGCCATTCCCTGTACACCTTGGGGTGCGACAGGGATGTCCTCTGGCTCCCACATTATTTAACATCTATTTTGACCACGTAGTTCGTGAAGCCTTCAATAGCTGTATCGGGGGATTCTCCATATGGTACAGATATAATGGGAGGCTGATCGATGCCCGGGTGTGGTCAAGGGATGGCTCCCTATTGCTCAACCACGTTATGTATGCTGATGATTTGGTAATAGCTGCTCATTCAGAGGAGGAGTTGGAGACGCTGCTGCTGAGACTGGAGCGTGCCACTAAGAGGTGGGGCCTTACCATCAGCCCCACCAAAACTAAGCACCTGCCTGGGTATTTTGTACCATCGGACACTCCACCCCCACAACTCCCAATCGGTGATGGGGCAGTTGTGGAGCGAGTGGAGAGTTTTCCATACCTGGGCAGTGTGCTTGTGACCAGCTACAGTTTAACAGCAGAGGTCTCACTCCGAATCAGTCGAGCGGCAATATCTTTTCATCGGTTGCGTAACGCTGTGTGGAAGCTACCTGGCCTGTTGATCCGCACTAAGCTTCAGGTCTTCTTGGCCACGGTCATTCCCTCCCTTCTCTATGCTTGCGAAACGTGGACCCCCATAATGGAACATCTTCGCCGGTTAGAAACATTTAGGCTGGCCTGCCTACGATCCATCCTGGGTTTAACCAGACTGGATTGTGTGAGGAGCTCACAAATCCTTGAAAGATCTGGGCAAGGTCCCATCGGTGAGCTCCTCCGGCGGGCAAGGCTGCGATGGCTGGGTCATGTAGCCCGCATGCCCAGCCACCGCATGCCGAAACAGCTTTTGTTCGGCCGGATCGAGGGGGCTAAGCGGGCGCGGCACAGGCTAGAGAAGAGATGGAGTGATGTGGTACAGGAGGACGTGGAGCTGAGTGGACTTGCCGATGACTGGTACCAGCGGTGTCAAGATCGGCCTCTGTGGAGGAGGCTCGTGAAGGATGCTACTGGGCAGTTGGAGGCAGTCGCCCTCCAACAACAACGGAGGGCGGAGGAGCGACGCTCAGAACAACGAGCGGAGCGCCGGGTGGCTAAAGCACAGCAGGTTGGCACAGTAGGGGGCACAGGTGGTGCATCAGCCAGTCATCTCAGTCAGTCGACCCGTGGCACCTGGGTCTGCCCCGTGACCTGCCAGCGGGCGTTCGACACTTCACGTGGCCTCAGGGTGCACATAGCCTGGCACAAGCGTCGTGGTGACGTCACCGCCACTTAGTGGCGAATGGCGGTTGTTGTTGTGTGTGTTAGTGTGTGTGTGTGTCACCTGCTGTATGTGTGTGTGGGGAGCGGTAGTGTAGTAGCGGTTAGCGCTACGCTGCGCTATTAACCCGGCGACCCGGGTTCGATTCCCGCTCACAGCCACCACCCATGCGACGATTATCTGAACCGGTCCCGGGCCTCCACCTAGGTCGACTCAGCCTCAAAATGAGTACCTGGTGTAGCGGTGTGTGAGTAAACATCGCCACTGGGGAGAGACAAAGGCGGCCGGGCGTGGCGCCGGCCACCCACCCCCTCGTGCACCGTTACCGGCCTTCACAGGTGCTACCACTAACAACACTTGCCCCTACAGTCTGTTGCAGGCTACACGGGGGATCTTTGATGATGATCTTTGATGATGATGATCTTTGATCTTCATACCCCGGACAGATGGCGGTGCGGTGGTGCGGTGCCGCTGTGGCGCCGGCGTCCGCCCAGCAAGCCGCCCGGCAAGCCGCCCGGAGCCGCTCGGAGCGCGTGGAGGGCGTGGAGCGTGAGCGGCGTGTGGAGCGTGTGGAGCATGAGGAGCGTGTGGAGCGTGAGCGGCGTGTGGAGCGTGTGGAGCGTGTGGAGCGTGAGCGGCGGCAGTGGGGGCAGCATGCAGGGGAGTTGCGCTACCTGGAGCTGCGCTCAGCTGCACAGGCTCGCTGGGGGCTGGCGGCGGAGGTGAACCCCCGGTGAGGTGGGGGGGGGGTGGGGGGGGTGGGGGGGGGGGGCACCCGGCGGGGGACGCGCGGGGGGAGACACGGGGAGACACGCGGGGGGAGACACGGTGGGGGAGACACGGGGAGACACGGGGAGACACGGTGGGGGAGACACGCGGAGACACGGGGAGACACGCAGGGGGAGACACGGGGGAGACACGGGGAGATACGGGGAGACACGCAGGGCGAGACACGGGGAGACACACAGGGGGAGACACGAATGGGGAGACACGCAGGGGGAGACACGGGGAGACACGCGGAGACACAGGGAGACACGGGGAGACACGGGGAGACACGGGGAGACACGGGGAGACACGGGGAGGCAGGGGGAGACACGGGGAGACACGCAGGGGGAGACACGGGGAGACACGCGGAGACACGGGGAGACACGGGGAGACACGGGGGGAGACACGCAGGGGGAGACACGGGGAGACACGGGGAGACACGGGGGGAGACACGCAGGGGGAGACACGGGGGTGGAGACACGGGGGTGGAGACACGGGGAGACACGGTGGGGAAGACACGGGGAGACACGGGGAGACACGCAGGGCGAGACACGGGGAGACATGGTGGTGGTGGTGGTGGGGAGACGGTGGGTGGCGACACGGTGGTGGTGGTGGTGGGTGGAGACACGGTGGTGGTGGTGGTGGGTGGCGACACGGTGGTGGTGGGTGGAGACAATCCACCTGGAACCTCCAGTGAAGGTCTCTCGCGAGTCATCTCCTGGCTGCAACCCCGCGGCATCTCCTTGACCCCTTGACCCCTTGACCCCTTGACCCCTGCCAGGTCACCGCCGCCGCCGCCGCGACCTCCTCGCTCGCGCTCCCTGAGCCGTCGCCGCGCCGCCCTGGCCCAGCTGCTGAGCCGCGAGGGGGCGGAGCTGGAGGCGGAGCTGGGGGCGGGGCCGGGGGCGGGGCCGGGGGCGGAGCTTGCGCGGCGGAGGCGCGGGGGGACGGAGGGCTCCTGGAAGGCGGCGGCCGCGGAGACGGCGCGGAAGCTGAAGGAGGCTCGCGAAGAACGGAGACGCAAGGTGGTGGGGGGTAGTGGGGGGTAGTGGGGGGGTAGTGGGGGGTAGTGGGGGGGTGGTGGGGGGTAGTGGGGGGGTTCACAGTGGCTGTGTACACACACACGGCCACTGTGAACCCCCTGAGCGAGAGAGAGACACCCAGACCCAGGGCTAGAACCCAGACTCTCAGTGTCTCTGACACGGCCATTGTGAACCCCCTGAGAGAGACACCCAGACCCAGTGCTTGAACCCAGACTCTCATTGTCTCTGACACGGCCACTGTGAACCCCCTGAGAGAGACACCCAGACCCAGGGCTTGAACCCAGACTCTCAGTGTCTCTGACACGGCCACTGTAAACCCCCTGAGTGAGAGACACCCAGACCCAGGGCTAGAACCCAGACTCTCAGTGTCTCTGACACGGCCACTGTGAACCCCCTGAGAGAGAGACACCCAGACCCAGGGCTTGAACCCAGACTCTCAGTGTCTCTGACACGGCCACTGTGAACCCCCTGAGAGAGACACCCAGACCCAGGGCTAGAACCCAGACTCTCAGTGTCTCTGACACGGCCACTGTGAACCCCCTGATAGAGAGACACCCAGACCCAGGGCTTGAACCCAGACTCTCAGTGTCTCTGACACGGCCACTGTGAAGCCCCTGAGAGAGAGACACCCAGACCCAGGGCTAGAACCCAGACTCTCAGTGTCTCTGACACGGCCACTGTGAACCCCCTGATAGAGAGACACCCAGACCCAGGGCTAGAACCCAGACTCTCAGTGTCTCTGACACATCCACTGTGAACCCCCTGAGAGAGACACCCAGACCCAGGGCTAGAACCCAGACTCTCTGTGTCTCTGACACGGCCACTGTGAACCCCCTGAGAGAGAGAGACACCCAGACCCAGGGCTAGAACCCAGACTCTCAGTGTCTCTGACACGGCCACTGTGAACCCTCTGAGAGAGACACCCAGACCCAGGGCTAGAACCCAGACTCTCAGTGTCTCTGACACGGCCACTGTGAACCCCCTGAGAGACACCCAGACCCATGGCTTGAACCCAGACTCTCAGTGTCTCTGACACGGCCACTGTGAACCCCCTGAGAGAGAGAAACACCCAGACCCAGGGCTTGAACCCAGACTCTCAGTGTCTCTGACACGGCCACTGTGAACCCCCTGAGAGAGAGAGACACCCAGACCCAGGGCTAGAACCCAGACTCTCAGTGTCTCTGACACGGCCATCGTGAACCTCCTGAGAGAGAGAGAGAGAGACTCCCAGACCCAGGGCTAGAACCCAGACTCTCAGTGTCTCTGACACGGCCACTGTGAACCCCCTGAGAGAGAGACACCCAGACCCAGGGCTTGAACCCAGAATCTCGGTGTCTCTGACACGGCCATCGTGAACCCCCTGAGAGAGAGAGACACCCAGACCAAGGGCTTGAACCCAGACTCTCAGTGTCTCTGACATGGCCACTGTGAACCCCCTGAGAGAGAGACACCCAGACCCAGGGCTTGAACCCAGACTCTCAGTGTCTCTGACACGGCCACTGTGAACCCCCTGAGAGAGAGAGACACCCAGACCCAGGGCTAGAACCCAGACTCTCAGTGTCTCTGACACGGCCACTGTGAACCCCCTGAGAGAGAGAGACACCCAGACCCAGGGCTAGAACCCAGACTCCCAGTGTCTCTGACACGGCCACTGTGAACCCCCTGAGAGAGAGAGACACCCAGACCCAGGGCTTGAACCCAGACTCTCAGTGTCTCTGACACGGCCACTGTGAACCCCCTGAGAGAGAGAGACACCCAGACCCAGGGCTTGATCCCAGACTCTCAGTGTCTCTGACACGGCCATTGTGAACCCCCTGAGAGAGAGAGACACCCAGACCCAGGGCTTGAACCCAGACTCTCAGTGTCTGACACGACCATTGTGAACCCCCTGAGAGAGAGAAACACCCAGACCCAGGGCTAGAACCCAGACTCTCAGTGTTTCTGACATGGCCACTGTGAACCCCCTGAGAGAGAGACACCCAGACCCAGGGCTTGAACCCAGACTCTCAGTGTCTCTGACACGGCCACTGTGAACCCCCTGAGAGAGAGAGACACTCAGACCCAGGGCTAGAACCCAGACTCTCAGTGTCTCTGACACGGCCATTGTGAACCCCCTGAGAGAGACACCCAGACCCAGGGCTTGAACCCAGACTCTCAGTGTCTCTGACACGGCCACTGTGAACCCCCTGAGAGAGAGACCCCCAAACCCAGGGCTAGAACCCAGACTCTCAGTGTCTCTGACACGGCCATTGTGAACCCCCTGAGAGAGACACCCAGACCCAGGGCTTGAACCCAGACTCTCATTGTCTCTGACACGGCCACTGTGAACCCCCTGAGAGAGACACCCAGACCCAGGGCTTGAACACAGACTCTCAGTGTCTCTGACACGGCCACTGTGAACCCCCTGAGAGAGACACCCAGACCCAGGGCTAGAACCCAGACTCTCAGTGTCTCTGACACGGCCACTGTGAACCCCCTGAGAGAGAGAGACACCCAGACCCAGGGCTAGAACCCAGACTCTCAGTGTCTCTGACACGACCACTGTGAACCCCCTGAGAGAGAGCGACACCCAGACCCAGGGCTAGAACCCAGACTCTCAGTGTCTCTGACACGGCCACTGTGAACCCCCTGAGAGAGAGACACCCAGACCCAGGGCTAGAACCCAGACTCTCAGTGTCTCTGACACGGCCACTGTGAACCCCCTGAGAGAGAGAGACACCCAGACCCAGGGCTAGAACCCAGACTCTCAGTGTCTCTGACACGGCCACTGTGAACCCCCTGAGAGAGAGACACCCAGACCCAGGGCTTGAACACAGACTCTCAGTGTCTCTGACACGGCCACTGTGAACCCCCTGAGAGAGACACCCAGACCCAGGGCTAGAACCCAGACTCTCAGTGTCTCTGACACGGCCACTATGAACCCCCTGAGAGAGAGAGACACCCAGACCCAGGGCTTGAACCCAGACTCTCAGTGTCTCTGACACGGCCACTGTGAACCCCTTGAGAGAGAGAGACACCCAGACCCAGGGCTAGAACCCAGACTCTCAGTGTCTCTGACACGGCCACTGTGACCCCCCTGAGAGAGAGACACCCAGACCCAGGGCTAGAACCCAGACTCTCAGTGTCTCTGACACGGCCACTGTGAACCCCCTGAGAGAGAGCGACACCCAGACCCAGGGCTAGAACCCAAACTCTCAGTGTCTCTGACACGGCCACTGTGAACCCCCTGAGAGAGAGAGACACCCAGACCCAGGGCTAGAACCCAGACTCTCAGTGTCTCTGACACGGCCACTGTGAACCCCCTGAGAGAGACACCCAGACCCAGGGCTAGAACCCAGACTCTCAGTGTCTCTCACACGGCCACTGTGAACCCCCTGAGAGAGACACCCAGACCCAGGGCTAGAACCCAGACTCTCAGTGTCTCTCACACGGCCATCGTGAACCCCCTGAGAGAGAGAGACACCCAGACCCAGGGCTAGAACCCAGACTCTCAGTGTCTCTGACACGGCCACTGTGAACCCCCTGAGAGAGAGAGAGACACCCAGACCCAGGGCTAGAACCCAGACTCTCAGTTTCTCTGACACGGCCACTGTGAACCCCCTGAGAGAGAGAGACACCCAGACCCAGGGCTAGAACCCAGACTCTCCGTATCTCTGACACGGCCACTGTGAACCCCCTGAGAGACACCCAGACCCATGGCTTGAACCCAGACTCTCAGTTTCTCTGACACGGCCACTGTGAACCCCCTGAGAGAGAGAGACACCCAGACCCAGGGCTAGAACCCAGACTCTCAGTGTCTCTGAAACGGCCACTGTGAACCCCCTGAGAGAGAGAGACACCCAGACCCAGGGCTAGAACCCAGACTCTCAGTGTCTCTGACACGGCCACTGTGAACCCCCTGAGAGAGAGAGACACCCAGACCCAGAACCCAGACTCTCAGTGTCTCTGACACGGCCACTGTGAACCCCCTGAGAGAGAGAGACACCCAGACCCAGGGCTTGAACCCAGACTCTCAGTGTCTCTGACACGGCCACTGTGAACCCCCTGATAGACACCCAGACCCAGGGCTAGAACCCAGACTCTCAGTGTCTCTGACACAGCCACTGTGAACCCCCTGAGAGAGAGAGACACCCAGACCCAGGGCTAGAACTCAGACTCTCAGTGTCTCTGACACGGCCACTGTGAACCCCCTGAGAGAGAGAGACACCCAGACCCAGGGCTAGAACCCAGACTCTCAGTGTCTCTGACATGGCCACTGTGAACCCCCTGAGAGAGAGAGACACCCAGACCCAGGGCTTGAACCCAGACTCTCAGTGTCTCTGACACGGCCACAGTGAACCCCCTGAGAGAGACACCCAGACCCAGGGCTAGAACCCAGACTCTCAGTGTCTCTGACACGACCACTGTGAACTCCCTGAGAGAGACACCCAGACCCAGGGCTTGAACCCAGACTCTCAGTGTCTCTGACACGGCCACTGTGAACTCCCTGAGAGAGACACCCAGACCCAGGGCTTGAACCCAGACTCTCAGTGTCTCTGACACGGCCACTGTGAACTCCCTGAGAGAGACACCCAGACCCAGGGCTAGAACCCAGACTCTCAGTGTCTCTGACACGGCCACTGTGAACCCCATGAGAGAGAGAGCCACCCAGACCCAGGGCTTGAACCCAGACTCTCAGTGTCTCTGACACGGCCACTGTGAACCCCCTGAGAGAGAGAGACTCACCCAGACCCAGGGCTCGAACCCAGACTCTCAGTGTCTCTGACACGGCCACTGTGAACCCCCTGATAGAGAGACACCCAGACCCAGGGCTTGAACCCACACTCCCAGTGTCTCTGACACGGCCACTGTGAACCCCCTGAGAGAGAGAGACACCCAGACCCAGGGCTAGAACCCAGACTCTCAGTGTCTCTGACACATCCACTGTGAACCCCCTGAGAGAGACACCCAGACCCAGGGCTAGAACCCAGACTCTCAGTGTC